ATAATCTTGTATCGTATCGTCGCGTCATGATTTTGTATCGTATTGCTGTGCTGTAATCTAGTATCGTATTGTTGCGTCGTCGTTTCGTGTCGCGCACTATCGTCGTCGTCGTAGATCCTAGACTTCAGAGGATGTTCTCGCGTGTTCGCGCATTCCGAAGATTTTCGTAACTACTACGCCATGGATCTCCGTAGCCGCGATACATGCGTCGCGTAGAATTACGCTAAAGTGGAAAGCCTATCAGAGAGGAGAAGCGGTTACTTAATACCGCGTGTCGAGAACGTATCGCGGAGACCAGCGCGTTTGCATACCGCAGAATCAATCCGTCTGCCTGTACGTCGGAAACTGTATGATTGACGTAAAGAATACATTTGTTATTATCTTACTGTTATTAATTCTGCCTATTTTACTGTTTTCTCGCCTTACTCGTTCTCCAAAAGATCCTCCGTTCCCGACTACGAACCACCCCCTCTGCCATTATCGTGGCTGAGCAGTCGGTTATTAGAGCCGTCCGCATTCGTGAGTCTCTACATCTCAGTATTTTCGAGTGAGAACGTACCGAAAAGATTCAAGAAAGAGTGGCACGCTCTCTCGTGCCTGGCGCCCAATTATTGACGTGAAGTTTAGAGTATGTAAAATTTGAGAAAGCCGTTGTGGCGTTGAGCTTTTTTTGTGTTGTCGCGAAGGTACCGACTAAAGAGAGGTAGAGCAATACTCGCGAACGCGCGACGAAGTGGCACCACGCTCGTGAGTGCGGTCGCAGTACAAAATGTATGAAATGAATAATGTATATGAAATGTATAAAATGTATAATATGTATAATATGTATAAACTGTATAATATGTATAAAATATGTTGAAAAAGATGTTGTGTTTCTTCAAGAGTTTCTGCACCAGTTGTAAAATTCCTTTCCTCTGTTGGTCTGCAAATTTTTCGGACATCTTCCATCGTCTCGAATTATCTTTGCAATCACTTTCGTCACCTCGTTTCCTCGTTGCTCTTGGCTTTGAGTGGTACGGCCCATACGTGCTTACTCAGCACATCGATAACGGTGAGAATGTAGTGATAACCTCTGGTTGCAGCGTGTATACGGACGCATCTCAACCACATTCGCCTGCCACAGGTCATCGTATCCGTGTACTATGACGCGTCTTCTTAGAAAATTTCTTCTCGCTGCAGCGTGTAATTCATCAACCGACAATCGTTTCTCAGTCATTGCGATTATTCACTTCTCGAATTGTCTTTTCAAATTCGTTTAGCATAACCTGCACATTATTTTGGAATGATATCATCGATTTTCCTGTCGATTTCATCAAGTCGATCTTTCAAATCTTGAACACTCTGCTGCACGTATCGTTTGTTTGCCGCATCAGCATCATCCACTGGTAGCGTTAAACATCGAATCTTACGTGATTTTGCATCAAAGTCGGCTGCGACTACGCAAAGAGCGTTATCGCGCACGTAATTTCTGAGCGATCCGCTCCATTGATAGTACGATACTTTTCCTCCTCCTCCGAGCGATAGTCCAAACTTGCTGATCGCCATTTCGATATCGACTGAATGACGCGTATAGTGCTGCATCAATTTATAACGAGACCGGCTTCTCGAAGTTCCTCGATAATCGACAGAATCTCGTTGTCATGACCGTTATGCCCCGCCTGGCGCGAAGTTTCGAGCAATCGGAAACGATCCACAAGTTCGTTGGGACGGTCCCAATGAATGTAATCAATATCATTATCGTTTAGTGTCATGGCGCGCGGTATATCGGATCTTTTGTTTATACCCGTTCCAACTTTTTTACCCAACACCAATGGCGCGATTATATTCTTATATTTGTACCCCTTGTTACCTAGTACTTGACTATCCGCGGTATGACCGCGTCTATACGCATTTGTTGTCAACAGAATGCTATTGTAGGTTTGCATGTCATCATCCGTGCATATATTTTCATTGGGAAATTTCATGAAAATTAACTCGTACAAACCCGGTGTTCCCTCGTATCTTTTGCCATTTATAATTATATCATTTTTGTCCAAGGCGATACGTTTGTCGCCGAGCATCGTTCCCTCGTTGCTAAAATAAACTCCGTACACAACGTCAATGTTTACGGCTTTCTTACCGCTCAAGACTGCTTTCAGATATTTTTGTCCCAGCGGACCATAGCTTGTTTGCAACTTTTCTTGCCCCTCGGACGTTTGAAGCAGGTGTCGAATGGATGTTACGATTTTTTCATCAATGACTTCGAATATTTCTTCGACGGAAGGGGTATGTGAATACTTGTATGATAAACCGCGCGGCTTGACTATTTCAGACATTTCATTCAAAGTATATGGTACAGTTTTCGATCGACTCAACATTGATTTCACAAGTGTGGAAGCCCGTATAGAATTGTCGTGCGAAGCGCTCGGTCGTTTTCG